CATTCAACAAATTTATTTTGTGTACATTATTATAATCACTACTGAGTACAGTAATAATCACAATCAGAAACGCAGCATGCCGAGATTTTGTGTTCGTTTTTATTTGAAACTTCGTTTATTTAGAATATATTTTCGTTACCAATAAAATAAAAATCTCTCAGTCAATCAGAAACCCGGATTCATGCCTTCGAGGAGGTCCCGTTTGAACGCTCACATCGTTTTTTTTTTCGTTTGGGGGAAAACTAAAACTGGTCGCAATTTTCGAATAAGAATGAGTCGGCAATTTTTAGTGGAGTCGAAAATTTGGAGGTAAATAAAACACCGAAACCTGGCAAATAAATAGGTGGGCGAATTTTTAGAGGGGTCGAAATTTTGGAGTTTTTCACGGTACTAATTATTCCATTTCAATGAAACTTAGTACAAAGATGCTCTAGGACAATGTACAAACCTAATTAGTTTGGGGTAAAAATCTGTTCATATTAATTCCCTAATAAGCATAATAATTCATAATTTTTTGTTTTAATCACATTTCAATTAAACTTGGAGACATAGATTTTCTGTTACATTGCGCAGACCTCATTAGTTTTACACTCAAATCTGGTCATATTAATTTTCTGATTTGCATAATTAGTTTTCAGCTAAGTAATTTCGAATTATATTTAATGTGTCTCCAATACTCTCAGCACATGGGAGTTCTTTCTAAGCTTTCTTTGATTATTGTCTAGTTGTGCTTGGCGATTCTGTTCAAACTTGTACTTGTTGGGGCACATTGAGGCACACCTAATATTCTTTATTATTATTTTTTTATTTGTCAAAAACGATCATTTTATAATCAATTGTAATCTTTGCATTAAAAATACATCTCAAATACATTGTATTTGCTCTGTAAGAAGCACATCCCCAATTAAACACTTGTGAACCAACAGTTAAATTCATTGTGATAGTGGATTATTAAATGTGGCTTATTTTGACAGTAGTGGCGTTCACGTTAGAGATCTCAACACGTGCCGAGACTCGGGACCGAGTCGACGCGTGCCGAAACTTGTGTGTGAAAGGTCCAGACCAAGTCAGCACGTGCACGTGCTGTACGCTCGGCACTAGCCGAAATCACGGCCTCGATGGAGAATGTAAGAGAACCTTTTTCTGATTCATACTAGTATGAAATGACGATTACAGGAATGAGATATACTAGTATATGGTCAGATGCTATAGTAATGAATGAAATGAATGCAAACGTCGTCAGCGACGCATATTTATGTTGTTACTGTTACTATTTTCTTTCAATGCTACATTGACGTGAAAAAATAATTGTTTTTTCGATTCTTCTTTGACCTTCATGTGCATGATGACTCGTAATAAATGCCATAACAAATGGATATAATTTAAGTATAGCAATTATTATCATCATATGCGTATCGTTTTCCATGTTTGGGCCAAATAACAGATCGACGAATGAGGGCGTGATTTCGGCACGAGTCAAGTCGGCTCTAAGTGGGTCCCGAATAACGTGAACGCAACTGCTGTAATCCCTCTGCAAACACAAAGGATTAAAAATGTAGGCACGTGCCGAGATCCCGTAACGGGAACATAGTAATAAACACAACTCTGCCATTTACGTAAGTGTGTGCAACTGAATCAAAAGTTTGCAACTTGCGTTTATACAAATTTAACCCTTTTCCGGTCAGGGGAGTTTCAGGCTATCGGGTTAAGTCGGTGAAAAACTGTCATGATTCAATGCACTCCAGTAGCCAGCATCTGTGCATGCTATCCTGCCAGAAATTTTTGCAAAAATAGGCCATAGTTAGCAGACTGTATCGACCACAGTTTTCACATTTTTTGCAATCTGTTCGCATACACACTTCATTACTACCATAGACAACAATTTCTCGTATAAAAAAATCACCGTTTTATTTCAATACGTTTTTTACTGTCGTTAAGTAACGATGTTTTGCGCTTTGTACAGTCTCAATAAACACGTGTTAAACATTGAAATAAATATTGCTTAATTGAAAACACATTACAAGCAAGTACAAGGTAAGAAAGTAAGAAGAAAAAAAAACGCGCGAGTATGGAGATATTTGGGACATGGACGGGGGAAAATGTGTTTGACGTACTCGACCTGTAAGCGTACATTTCAAATTGCAATGTATATTCAACGACTTGAACTACATGTGTAACATATTACAATGTACTTTTCGTGACTTGACTGATGTTATATTCAAGCTCTAACGTACATGTATATTAACCGACTTGACCGTACTAGTAATCCCACACTTACAACGTATATTTAACGACTCAAACTGAGACTAAAACGAACGAGAACGTAACTGCAACGACTTGATCAGGGTTACCTTCACACGGTAACATATATTCACCGACATGACCCGATGAACTATCCTGACATTAAAACGTATAAATACCAAGTGAGCATGAAACTAAATTAACGATAACGTATTTTTACCAACTCAAACTATCGTACAGTTTGTGACGCTGTAATAAGTCCCAAATTTATTTGTTGTACACCTTTCTTAGTCGTCCACCCCGGCGGGCTGCTCCCATGCGTATGCCTGATGTCGAGGGCTGCTCTTCCATACTTCGTGTTTGTGTTCCCACGATGTGTTTTCCCCTCAGTGCCATGTTGTGATGAAAAGCAGAAAAACATTCGCCCGCATGAAGGTGAACTTTACAAATTGGGCATCCTTTCGATGTTTCTGATAATCTGCCACTCACTGTTTTTCTCCCCTCCTTGCTACACTGCTTACACAATTTTTGACGCCCAGGTAGTCTGCATATTTCGTGCGAATCCATGTTTTCACTACGAATAAATGACGTGTTACTTGGAAGAGAGCCAACTTCTCTTATGGATTTTTGAATTCTACTCGAGTGTCCACCAATCAGTTGTTTACCTGTGCGGATATTGAAAAATTTGTGCGTTACTTTAGTCGTGCGATTCAATGCCTTGAAACATTCATAAGCATTCAGATTGACCAATGCAACATCTATGAGATAACAGGCCATGTAGATCCACCAACGATTGTTTTTTCTGCCCGTGTGATAGTATTTTCGCCTTTGGTTAGAACGATCCACGCCACCCATGTGATGTCTGTAACATTGTAACGATACAGGCACGTGTCTCTCGTCATCTACTGCTTCTGCCGACGTAGCCAGTGGGGGATAGCCTGTATTTAAAATCAATATTTGCGAGCTGTCATCCTGGTATACAGTAATATTGATAGTGTCGTCTGGTCTAGTTGCTGCTTTCATTTCACCAATTTTCAATTTCAGCTTCTTGCTTTTCCCCTCAGGAATTAATTGAGGCGGCATGGTTTTCCGATTTCGTCTGCTAAAACTACCGACCATGTACACTTTCTTGTCTTGTAATTCAAGGGCTGTGTTAACTGACGTAAAAAGCGAATCACAGAAAAGAATATGGTTTTATTCTGTGAAGGGCTGTAGCAACCGGTGTGTTGTCTTCTTGATTGTCCCAGTTACTTTCCTTCTCCCCTCATTTGTAGTTTTATATTTCACCCCCAAATATGGTTCAAAGTTTGCAATGTAAGACGTTGTCGAGTCAAACACCTGCAATATTTTGAAGCCATCGCGGTCGGGTTTGTGGGGCAATCTCTGCTTAAACTTGGACCGTCCCTTGAATCTAATCATACCCTCATCAATTGAAATTTCCTGTCCCAGCTGGTAGTATCGCAGTCAATTTTCCAGTACGGGTTTCAGCCACGGGTTGATTTTATACAACGGGTCGGCCTCTGATCGTTGATGACGACGTTCGATGTCAGGATCCCGCCGTGGGTCATTTACTGGATCAGCTAAATGAAAATAACGCATTACTGATGCAATTCCCATATTCTGCAGAAAGTGGTCACTCGACCAATAATCGTCGACTGCTGATTTGTGACTAACACTCATACATATCATCACACCAGCGGGCATTCAATTTTTTTGCAGTGTATTTTTTATGATATTTGGTGTATTTATTAGTCTTGATGGAAGCCAGTTCTATCAGTTCTGGTGGGATAAATTTGTAGAAATATTCCACCTCATGAGCATATGAAGGCAGTTCGAAAGTTGGTCCAGGTTCATGTTCAAAAACTGGAATAGTAAATATATCGCTGTCTTCCTCCGTGGCCATTCACCAGTGTCGGAGGCAACATAATCAAATGTAGCACCAATTTCTGTGTCGGATTCAATTTCAATGTCCCTATCGAGTACAGGTGGGTAACGTTGCTCTAAAAAATCGTCATTCTCAGCACGACCTTCATCGATTTCTGAATCTGTATCGTCGTCATTTGCAATTATGAAGTCATCTGGTATTTTGTGTCGTAGCTCACCCGTTTTTTCGTCCAATACAAGTTCATCATCACGCGTGTGCATTGGCGATGCGTGTGCATACACAACACGTTTTTTAATAGTTTGTTTTTCGGGTAAACTCGCAAGTGCTGATTGTTCTGTATCGCATACATTTTCTTGAACCATTTCTTTGGTGACATCGACGTTTTGTTGTGTACTCGCTGGGTCGATATGTTCAGGCCCCTGCTTTTCTGTGTTGGCAGTTGTGGCGGATGTCGACGGTTCCGAATCGCAAACATTGTCTTGCAAAAATTGTTTCACATCTTCGATGGAACGTTGTATTTCAGCGGTACCAACTCCCGTTTCTTCGACATCTGCTTTGTCGGCAACTGGCGATTCAACCACTTTACGGTTCGTCTTCGATTTACGTTTGCCTCCTGGTTTGCCCCTTAGTTTGCCCCCGCAGTCCTTCAAGCTTTCTTCTGTAATCGCATGTTCATTGACAGAGGAGACAGTCTCTGACTTGCGTTTGTTCTTTTTGTTTTTACGCCTTTTCTTGAGTGGACTATTATCACTGGTTTCCATGGTACGTTCGGCTGGTAACTCACAGACGTCAAATGTTTCCTTTGCTTTGGATATCTTTCTTTTCCCACGCTTTGCTGGTGAAAAATCTGTTGTGTCAAGGTCAAAAATTATCACTCCCCGTGCCTCTGCACAATTGACGCGTTTTCTTCAGTTTCCTTCTTGCCTTCATAAAACACTTCCTATCTGTATAGGACGGCATATTAACGTACGTGTCGGAAAGTAGGCATACTGTGAGTCTGGGCTTTATCTCACTTTCTTCGGCCATATTTATACTGAACGACCAGATGACCACAAGACTGTATCTCCCCACAATTTGAATATTTATTGTTATGTAAATAAATGTTATTTTTTCGAACACGGATTGGTTACAATTTGCATACACATAGAATTGCATATGCTAGCTCAGACGGTGAAATCACGTAGACTTGAATATTTCCCACCAGCTGTCCCGGTCATTTTACGTTGATGATTGCCGACATTCCAAGCTCAGCCGTTAGAATCCGTCATTGCTATTCATTCTAAGTGCCGGGACTATTTGCCAAGCTGGTCAAAATACATTACTATCGTTATAATTGTGAATCGTGACTTTCAAATACGGTTGTAATGCTGCAGTTTGCAATGTTGTCAAGGCGTTTTTTTTCACTTCGTCGCAAACGTCGCGTTGTGACGGTAAAATAGTGAAATGAGCAGACAAGTGTATAGAATTACATTCTTTATTACTTGGCTAATTTATTTGACTTGATGGAATCGAAAACAAATTCTGTCCCTCCATAATTTCGCAAGTGTAAAATATCAGGTTCCGTACAACGTATTATAAACGCTTTACCGTCTGAGCAACCTAAATAGCAGGCCGTTTTTCAACAACTTAACCAGTTAGCTAGCTGGAGTGGTAAGTTCTAGCATTACCCATATTGACGGCGATTTTTCACCGACTTGACCAGAAATTGAACCATTTGGAGGAAGGGGGACTTTTCCATACAGCCCTGTAGTAACATCAACTGTAAACCACCTAGATTAGTTTTGAATTGTATAGTTATATTTATAACCCCCTTTAAATAAAAGATACATCAAAAATCCCTTCCCCCCACCTTACAAAAATATGCCATCCCCCCTTTTGAAGTCTCTAGCCGAAGTATTAAATTCCAGTAACAGGATGTAAACCAGCATTACATTTATGCAATAACAGTTCATTATATAGGCTGGTCTTTTATTCAGCTGAGGTTACACCAGTCTCAAAAAAAAGGTGTTGGTCACCTAAACTGTGGAGTCCTCTATTGTTTTAATTCTGGACACAACGCACTTCAAATGTCTTCTAAAACTGATTTAAATTAAAATCGTTTTAGTAGACAAGATAGATGCACATATATTTCCACTGTGCTATGGAAAATAATCAAACATTACTTAGAATGAAAGAAAGAATGAGTGGAAATTGAATACATTTACCCATCTCTAAAGTTTCCACAGATAGGCAGCTTGGAGCCAAAAACAGTAAAAAAAATCATTAAAACAATGAAAATCAATTGAAAGTCAATATAATATAATAATAGAAATTGAAACAATATAACCTACATTTAAACCAAAAAAAAAAAACATGTTGCTTGAAAACAGGAGAGGTTTTACATTTGATGTCAGAACAGGACTAGATGGAAAATGACCCCCCCCCCCCCACAAAAAAAACGCCCTCTATCATAAAATAATTATTAAACATTTGCAAAATTCAATACTACTGTAAAAAGATTAATTTTCACTGGGTTAAAATTTCGCTGATTTACCTATTCAGGCATATTCAGTGGGTTTTATCATTTAGATAATGTGTTCTATGCTAAATTTTACAAATTCACTGGGTTTTAATTTAGCGCATTTTCCAAGCAGGGAAATAAGCAAAATAAATAATAAATCCCTTTACAGTATGGTGGAAACACATTTCTGTCTTATAGTAATTATGTAGATACTGTAAGACTCCATACAGCTACTTTGAGTATCTCTTGTTTGTCTTCTTAATAAAGCCTTTTACAGTATGGTGGAAACACATTTCTGTCTTATAGTAATTATGTAGATACTGTAAGACTCCATACAGCTACTTTGAGTATCTCTTGTGTGTCTTCTTTCACATTTCGATATTTTTATGTAACAATTTGTCAGGAAATCGAAAAATACACTAAATTACTGGCTATATATTGCTTCAAAACAAACATTTTTTAAATAAGACATAAAAAACAATTCTGAATGCTTCCCCCAAATACCATGGAGAATTAGACATTATTGATTTTTATAATTTGTATTAGCATTAGGCTATGTGGGCGGCCTGATACGTGGGTGTGGGTGGATATACCTGCATAAATAGGAAAATTGTATTGATACGTTTGTTTCAGCTAAATACCAGAGTTCAGCTTGTGGAGCACCTTGCTATTCTTGTTTTACAATGATAACATGTGTTTATTGTAAAACACTGCAATAATTTGTGTTTGAATAATAGATATTAGCACATGCTGTGAAATGTTTTATTTTGGCTGCTACACGTAAGAAGTTTCACAATTTGACGATTCAAATTCTTTAGGCCCACAATGACATTTTCACTGCTTTCACATTTTTGTGAAAATACATATTTTGTAACCTTCTTTCTGTGCATTCCTGTGCCATGAAAATAAGATTGTAGAAACTGTCAAATACTTTATTTTCGCTGGAATTAATTTTCACTGAAAAGACCTTTGGATGATTTGTAAAGAGTTTATTTTCAATGATTCTTGATGATTGAATGTAAAATACAGGAAAAAATGTATATTAGCTAGATTTTATTTTCACTGAATCATTCCTTCAGCGAAAATAGCGTATTTTACAGGAGAGTTTCTACAATCTTATTTTCATGGCTCAGAAATGCACATAAAGAAGGTTAATACGTCTGTAAGGCATGAATGGACCTGTTTTGTTTGTAATGCAATTTTATCAGTGGTTGAAAGGTTCTAACCTTGGCCTTAGCAAGTTGATCTTTCTAGAATCAAGGTTAAAAAAATCCAATGTCTTAAATACACACCACATGTATGTATACAATATCATTCTCGTTTTCTGTATAGCAGTATTGTGGTTTCATTGACTGATTATTGGGACAGTGTCAACACATGTCAAATATTCACTTTTGGTCCTTAGACCTGACATAAAAACTGGCATAAAACTTGTGGCCCTTTTTTTGGTTCTATTTTTTTGTCAATAAATTTTTAATCTGGAAAACAATTCCATTGAATTCACATGCGATTGTAATCAGAGATGTTTACATAAAAAATAACACACTATATAATACTGCTTGCAAACATACTCTTCACATCGTATTTCATTATTAAAATGCTTTCTCTAATTAGATAAATTAGATGCTTGAAGCATTGTGTATTCTTATTTCTTGTAAACAATGTTTTTTTTTTTCACTCACCTGTTGTGTGGGACCCATATCAAATGCAACTTGGGGTGGTGACTGTGACAACCCAGATTAAAAGACGTGTAAATGTTGAATATGTCATGTGTTTGGAGCAGTGTTTGAATTGATGTGAAAACATACAAATAATAAATGATATTGAAGTCACAGACTGCACACATAGCAACCATAAGTGCATTTTTATCTAAATATCAACTAAGAAAATATATTTGAAACTTAATCCAGAGTAAATTGTCTGGTTCCTAGCAACTACATGTATGACCACCCTACCCTCCTACTAGTATATGAAAAACTAAGACTAACATTGAACATTCAACGATTCAGTCACAAACAATAACTATTTTCTACCTTATCGCAACATGATCATACCTTTGAATCAGCTGTGTTTTTCCCTAAAAATGTAAAGCCCTCTCATTATAAAAATTTGCAGAATTATGTCAAACAACAAATGATTTGATTAAAGCGCTACAGCCATTGCACCATGTTGTGTTCGATATACATCCCATATTATTTATATATGCAAAATTCTGCATGGTAACTGTAGCGATTTAACATACTTGTATTCATTTTAAATTATTTTGTTTAGTATCAGTGGTAGTTTATTCAAATGTCGTGGTCTCCACCCATGACATCAATTATTATAATGCAAAATTGAACAAATACATCACTGTGAGTTCAAAATTGAGAGAAAGTTGTCATGGATTTTAAAAGAATTGTGTACATACACTGAAAGTATATATTGTGTTTCTGGGTTTAGTGATTTTAAGAGCAACACATTTCTGTGGATGGATAGACTTTGAAACGACTAGGAATCCAGTCAGCTCTACAATGGATGAGAAAGGATAAAATGGCATTCATCCTCAACCACTGAACCTCAAATTCAAATTCTCAACCAAACCAACTACTGAACAGGGATTGCGTTAACCCCATATTTTGCTTCCCAGACTCCAATTATTGAAGAGGGACCCAGTTTTTCAGGCAAGCTAGGGTCCAATCTCTAATAAAGTTATTCAGGGTCAAATTTCAATTTCTTGAAATTTTGTAAGTGGGACTTGTCTTGCCGAGACACTAGCGTAAACCCTGACTGAATTATTATTATATTGAAACCTTCACCCCAAATGCATTATATATAACAGGGATTGCGTTAACCCCATATTTTGCTTCCCGGACTCCAATTATTGAAGAGGGACCCAGTTTTTCAAGCAAGCTGGGGTCCAATCTCTAATAAAGTTATCCAGGGTCAAATTTCAATTTCTTAAACTTTTGTAAGTGGGACTCGTCTTGCCGAGACACTAGCGCAAACCCTGTGCATACCAGAAACAGCAATAAACATCTGTGGCTGACCGGATAATGACTCTAGACCAGCATGCTGATACAACAAAGCACTATGATTGTGCATTGCTTTTATACATAAATGTTTTTGTTTTGCAGATGAAATCAAGTTAATTCTTTATCGTAACCTCCATGCATATCGTGAAGACAAAGCCCTACAAGTTATATCTATATCAAGTAATGAATTCTGTGGTATGGAATGCAATCTTATTATACAGAGACGCCCAAATGTATTGTCAATTGTCTGTCTACATGGGATCGTTCTCTTGGGGTTTGATCAACCTGATAAGATGATAGACTGGCAACTTACAATACATGCAGCATTAGGTTATTGTAAGTAAACTATCTTTCTGATTTTTCCTTTCTTGTTTTCAACATATAAAATCACAACTGTTATCTTCCTGAAATAAAAGGTTATTCGCGGTGAATACCGGAGATAAAGTGTGGTAATTTGAGAAGCATTAACAAGAGCAAAAATAACAGTTCTGCTTCGAAACATACCACTGTTATCTCTGGTATTTGCTAAGAATGACCTCATATGTGCAACTGTTCCATCAAGAAAACCAGACCACAAGAAGCAGACGAGCATAAAAAGAGAGCTAATATCTGCAACAGCAGCACTAATATTTGACGTGGAGAGTAATATCCAATGTAACGCATGACAGGCACCCATGTTCTTATAAGCTTGCCAGCACTAGCAAGATTGAAGAAATAGGATGCTATCCCGGGATTTCACTAGTTCAAAAAATAACACCTGTCAAGTGTAAATATTTTGTTATTTTCCCTGCTTAAACATTAGGAAATGTCAGATATTACAGTTGCTCATAATTACATATATTGTGAACCTGGTGTGTTAGGTGCTGGTTTGAGTTGCATACATATTTACTTTATTGTGTATACTATATTATGTACTGTATTTGCTCTATTAGTAGGACCAACAGATTTTGTGAATTGACAGAGGTGTCATTGGTAAAAAAAAAAAAGTAACAGAGGGTGTTTTTTATGTTCAATATTAGAAATGTGATTCTTGATATATGTGAGCTTGTATTGCAGATGCACTAATTTCTGTAATTTAACTGCTATGCTAACATAATTTATTTGACTTGCAGTTGGTGATCAGAAGTTTACAATAAGTTTACCCAATAGAGGTAAATTATCACCTGGTCCAGCTACTCTGTATTTATCTCAAGATCACTTTGCTGTTACTACCTCAATACCAGTCAAGGTACTCGCTTCCTGGAACTTCCATGACTTAGCACGATATGGCAATATTGATGAAGGGTTTGCATTTGAAGCTAGTAGGACCGCTTCAAGTAAGTGATATTGGTTGATTTTTCAAAAAACAAGTCCCTGCCAGCCATTCTGTTTATATATTCATTCATAGTAGCAGCTGATTTCTTATCTCCGTCAAGCAATATTCAGAACTTATAAGTTGCTCGTTTTCAACTTGCTTTACTATGTTAAAAAATACAGAAAAAAATATAGTCAAGTGTCAGATACTATGGGCATTTGACAAGCCAAAGAAACTACACAGAGAAAAAAAGTGGGTGGATAATGGTATAACTAAGAAAATGGAAACATGAATTTCTCGTTTTAGTGTATCCAAATATAACCTTAAATTTACAATGTTGTAGCTCTGTAAAACTGCTACAATACAATTAGCATCGATACACAGTATCAATCACATAGTGTGTACCATAAATTCAGTATTCAGTGATGTAGGGACAGGGGTTGAAATAAAAAAAGTAAACTTTCAAGTCTATTATACAGGTTGGTAAATAAAAGTCCCAATAGATGATGTACTTGTCCCTAGCAAGATAAATTAAAACAAATTATTCAAAATCAAATTTTCATTTTTTGCTCATCATTTTTAGTCTTAGAAACTCTGAAAGCAACTTGGGACTACCCCATTCAGTCATTTAGTATAAATTTGATATCTTGTTCACCTGTCCACAGGAACAGACCATTGCTACATTTACCTGATCCAACTCGAGACAGGTGGACCCCTATTGTGATGTTTAAAATTTATTCCCTGATGTTCCTTGCTATGTTTACAAATGCCAGTCTCATCCAGCACAAATTTAAAACAATCCATTCGCATGGTTAATAAAGGAAACTGTCTATGCATGTTAGATGTTTATTGTAAAAATCTTGCAGACCTTGAAGGTTTATAGATTGATCATTCTGGGCTAGTACAAGTAGGAAACTACTCTACGGTGCAGACATATGGATAAATAGGACCTCAAATTATATGATAATTGCTTAAATAATTTAATTTCTTAAAATTTTTAGGTGGAGGAATTTTTGTACTACTTACTGATGAAGGAGATTTTATTAGAAGTGCCTTTGATGCTATTTCCAGGAGAGATGTACATGTTAATTCAATAAGACAGTCCTTTGAATCAGGTATGTTCAAATTACTGCAATGTTTCTGAATGCATTTTTTGAATGTGAGTGTTCTGATAACGTTTATTTTCCACTCTCTGTGAAATCTTGTATAATCACTGAAAGGTGCAGACCAAATAGAATGGAAATGCCCCCAAAACACTTTCACGTTTGCCAAATCCCATATGCTGTAACGCAGGATTTCCCAGTGAACGTAAAATGGTCTATTGAATCGTTATACAGAGTTAAATTGTGGGGTATATGTTGTACTTCAGTAACTCATGTGGAGTTGGGAGATTTTTGAGAAAATGTGTAGAAAATAGTGTTCTGCCTGAATCCAGGGGATTGATCAATACAGCCTTTTGAAATCTGTGCACCTGTATTTTGCAGATATGTTTCGTAATACTTTTCAAGGTCATTTATGAGACAGCAAAAATTTAAGCCGCAGAGCTAATGAGGGGGAAAGTAAATTGACCCATTCAATTTAAAAAAAAAAATGTTGTATTGATTTTTTTTTTTTAAACTCGCGATAATGAAACAGTGTGCCGAGAACCATATTTTTAAAAAAAAATATATAAAAAGAGAGGGTACTGACCTATTTGCAAAGATACAGCATTTAGGCCTATGCTAATATATTGGAAATAGAACGTGTTCTCTGGTGAAATCAAATGCATATCTACTTCAAACCCAACCATGCTCTCTCAGTCCCCCTCGATTGTTGTCTAATGGGCTATTACTTATCATTCTGTGAAATTATAAAGTATTTATATCTTAATATGAAAAACAGTGTTGACATTTCACAAGCATTTTCTATGAATAAATTTAAAACTGAATGAATCATTGTGAATCCACATGTTGAAAAGTTATTCTGTCGCAATAGCAAATTGAAATTCAGATTCAAAAAGATTACCAACATTCGGATGCATTAGAAATTATTGAACATTTATTTCATACTTCCACAATTATTAACACATTCAGACCATCACTTATTTCACATAAACCCCATTGGAATATCAAAATGATATCAGAGTGCAACTTCAAAATAGAAAACCGGTATCTGAAATGACATTGTAGATCAATTTTCTTGCCATAGACCTGCCCAGCCATGGCATTTTATAATTTATTCTTAAATCTTGGTCCAATGCAAAATTATCACGACTGGGCTTTTCTGAAGTGGTCTTTTCTGTTATTAATTACTCATGATATGAAGTGACATTATGGAAACGGAGAGTGGAAAACTTTCAAAAGAGGAAAGTAGGCGTACACTTGCGCAAAAGATTCCACACATCAGGCCGCATGTGCATTATACTTGTGTAGAACAGGTTAGACCAAAAGCTTTTCTTATTGGTTGGCAGCTTATGGTTAATGCTACTCATTAGCATATTTATCTCCTCAGAAACGTGATGACAACTATTGAAGGCGTGGCCGAACAGAC